CCCAAGGGCAGGCCCCGGGCTGCGTGCCAGCGGCCGTAGCTGGGCCGTGCATGTGCCATGCGCACCGGGGGCGGGCCTGCGCTCCCTACGGGGGTGGGCCCGCTCCACACGGGCGGGCCCATGCATGCACCGTGCACCCAGGGGCGGCACCACACACCCGTGCCCGGGGCGCCAGAATGCCTCAGGCCGGCCTTGCTGCTAGCCATTCCTTGGTGGCATGGCTACCACCAGTGGACACTTTTGCCATATAGCTCTCCACTGAGGGCTCGCTGTCCCAGTGGCCAGTCTCATATCACATCCCTCCAAACAGAAGCCCCTCCCTTTTCATGTTATGGAAAACAATGCTTTTCTCAGGGCTTCTGGTTGCCCTGACACAGTCAGTCCTTGACCTTGCTTTAAGTTAGGAGAAGAGGAAGATGTATACCAAATTTGGTGGCCCTAACTCCTACGGTATAGGAAGAGCTCTTGAACAAACAGACTCCCAGACGGACACACAGACAGACACACTCTAAAATATAGACAGAAACTAGCAGACATAGCAGAGACTAGCTAGCATTGCCTGGTCCTTCCGGGCAGAGGTTTGGGGATGTGGGGGAGAGGCATGTTTTCTCCCCACCCACTTCCATTCCTCCCAAGCCCATCCAGGGCCTCTTCTCTCCCCTCCAGGCCAGCACCCCAGTCCCTCTGGGATTTGTTCTCTGCCCCCCTTCCCCTCCACATGCCAGTCCCCAGGCCACGTGGGGCCTGTTCTCTCCCCATCCAGGCCAGCCTCCAGCCCATCCTGGGCCTGTTCTCTTCTCCCAAGGCCACCCCCCCCAACCTACCTGTGGCCTCTTCTCTCCACATCTATGTCACTTCCCCCCCAGCCTGTCCAGGACCAGATCTCTTCCCACTCCATGCCAGCCCCCAGCCCACCCAGTCCCTGTTCTCTCCCTCCCCAGGATCCCTCAGCCACCAGGGCCTGCTCTCTCCCCCACCCACCAGTGCTGCAGCCAGCGGCTGGGAGGGAAAAAAGGGATTTGGGCACAGGGGCTACTTACCCAGTTTGCTTGCAGGCAAGATGGTGGAGCCCAAGGACCCCTGCTAGCCACTCCCTTGGTGGTACGGCTGCCCTCAGCTGACATTCTGCAAAATAGCTCTCCCTGTGGGCTCGCTCTCCCCAGTGTCCTCTCGTGTATCGCGTTCCTCTGAAACCAGCCCCTCCCTTTGCATGTTACAGAATACTGTCTCTTTCCCCCAGGCACAGCCAAACCCTGACCTTCCTTTAAATTAGGAGAGGAGGAAGCTGCTTGCTAAATTTGGTGGCCCTAGCTCTTACCATTTAGGAGCTCCTGAACAAACGGACTCGCAGACAGACACGCAGACAGACAGACGCGTTCTAAAATATATAGATATATAGATAAGAAAGCAAAAAAGATACAAGCCTGATTTTAGTTTTCTTTGGAGCTTGCCTTTAAAGAACCACTTATTAAATCTTCAGAAAGCAGAATCAATCCTTACTCTCAGGAGAATCTAGTCTAAACAGATAAGGCCAAATTCATCCTTGGTGTGGCCCTTCACTGGACTAAGATGAGGGTCTATCCTCTTACTGTTATTCTATAAAGTAAAGTAAAGTTATCCCTGTGATCCAAGGAGTAATGCCGTTGCAGAGTTCCAGTTACTTTGCTGGCTCTTACTAGCTTTACCTGACTGTGTAGGAGAGCCCCTGGATGCTGACACTGTTACGTGAAGACACAACAGACTTTCTTTCTTCTCCTCCGGAACCCCAGCCACTCCTTTCCATTGTAGTAGGCTGGCTCATGCTCAGGCAGACTGGACACTTTTCTTAAATCACCCTTTCAACAAGCTGGTAAATCAGTTAATTCAGACAAACACTCAGCCACCAAATGGCTACTGCAGCAATGAAGAGGGTGTGCAGCTTCACTCTGTCAGTCGTCCACAGGATCAGTCATGGACCCAGACTAATTTCTACACCCAGGAAATTACTCTACAGAAGGCTGCTGCTCTCAGTTTGCTTTTTCTTTCCAAGCACAGTTGATAGATTAGCCATAACTATTATCTGATTAACCTTTAGCCTGAGCTGTTATTATTCCAGTAAAGGAGAACATTACCCTATCTACAGAGACAAGTAGACCAGAGAGACCCAGGATATTAGGAGAAACACCAGCTATGTTTTGGTGAGGGCTTTGAAGGGGGTCAAGCTCAAAGCCAAGAGGAAAAGGATTTCCACAGTATTTAAAAACAGAAAAGAAAGTGGCAATATGGAAAGTTCCACCACAACTATGGAAGAAATGACTGAAAAAGTCCCATTGGAGCATACCATTGGGAGCCAAGTTACAGAGCAGGATTTTTCGGTGAGTAGAGTTCATAGGAACTGAAGGGGAAACCCCTGAAAACTGCAGTTAGCATTACATGTAATGAACAGCAAATTGGATTTGATATATAGTGTCCTCCATCTGCATATGAATATGGAATGAAGACAATATAAAGCCCTTAGAGAAGCAGCATAGACTTATGGTCAAGGCAGTTGAATGGGACACATGAAATCTGGGTTCTGTTATGGGTTTTGCCTCAGACTTCCTGTATGAACTTTTGCTTTAGTCCTCCCATTTGTAAAAGAAGGGATAATATAACTTTCCACACTGTAAAAAGGTGTGCAGGCAGGATAAATGCATTCACATGCAAAAGCACTCACATATGAATGGTATGGGCCATATAAATATTAAAATTAACTGCATTTGCTTGGGAGTGTTACTATATAGAAAGTGACTTTTAATATACTTTTATAATAAGCTGCTGTTTGAAAGCAATTGTGGGAGATTTCTGTATTATTTCTATGAATAATATGTGCCTTGGTTTACGTGTTCTGTTTTGCACTGCTATCAGCTCAAATGATTAAGTTAGACCTGAGATAAAGTTTGGTTGAATGCAGAAAGTACAGACAGTTGGTTAGTTTTGTTAAGGCCATTAAAACATTCTAAAGACAATACATGCATGGAGTCCTTTGAAGCTTCACCGCCAACCCATGTTTGGCTGAAACAGGGTTAGACTGGAGAGGAATAAACTGATCTGCCCAGATCAAGGGCAAATGCAGGGGCTTGAAGATGACAGAGAGAGAGCAAGGGATGGAATGGAGAATAAAGACTGGATGGAAACTCGGCCCATGCCTCAAAGGAGACTCTGTGGGGGAAATGGAGTCAGAAGTAACAACTGCATGCATGCAGGCTCTCTCCACCCCGCTTAAGGCTGAAGCCTGCTTAGGCTAAAGAGGACCTGCATAACTAAGTAAGGAAAAGGTAAAAACAAAAATTTTAAGACTTATGTATTTTTGCTCAAAATGGGACCCATTTTAAAACTGGAATGAAATTGGATCCATTTCCATTTTGAAAATGGACATCTTCAAGTCCAGACAAACAAGGAAATGAACTAAAAGCCCACTGCATATTTGGGTTTTTTTAATTGTTCGCACCCCTCTAGTTCTGGGTAATTTTCTAGTGACTAGAGAGAGACAACTCATTTAAACTCTTTACATTTTGTGCTATGGTAACTAATACATTGTACAGTTATTACACGTCGAAAACATTTCCCTTGCTGCCTTTTCCTCTAAACTGTAATTTTAACAGCATTTAAAAAATAAGCGAGTTGTAATTATCCTTCTAATAATTTCTACAGAGACAGAGGAGGTTCAGAGACAGTATTTTTTGCTCTGAAGAGGATAACAGTATGTATTTCACATACAGTGGCAAATCAAATGTCCTAGAGGTCAAAGAACTCAACTACCAGGTACAAGGATCGCTATCTCTTGCATTATATTATGTTGTATTATACTGTATACAATATAATCACTTATATTATGTAATGCATACAACAATTTCCTGTTTGCAATATTTAGATACTACTACAGGGCTGTGCCCCCTGATCGCTACACTCGCCAACCCCCCATCTGTCCACCACAGCCTGATCAGCAGGAGGGGGGCTGCCACCAACCCTTGCTGTGGCCAGATGGCAGCTGGACCGCGGGGCCTGCGCCAGGATTGGGGCAGGGTGTCCAAGATGGAGGGTGGGGCAGGCTATTTGGCCAGGGGAAAAGGGGCAGGAGTGGGCTGGGGACAAGGTGTCTGTTTGGGGTGAGGAGGCAGGAGCAGGCTGGGGGCAGGGTGTCTGGCCAGCCTGGGACAGGAGGTAGCTGGTGCCCCAGGCTGGGGACAGGGTGTCTGGCCAGCCTGGGACAGGAGGTAGCTGGTGCCC